CTGGACAAATAAAACCAAAAATATCTGCAGGGCTAGATACCACTAGAAAAAAGTAAATAAATATGTTTTTGCATAACCTTGGGTGAACCAACCAGAGTTGTAGACTTGAGATTTGGGACTTGGATTCAAGTCAGACTTAATTCACAAAATCCTGACTTTGACTTGACTGCCATGAGACTTGACTTACTTGAAACTTGAAACCAAAAACATACATAACATAAACATAAGTCTTTAGTTTTGGCCTGGAACAATTATTATTAGACCTTTGGATTCCAGTCACTTGCTCTAAGCTATGACTGACTTAGAACTTAACTTGCCTTGAATGACTTTGGGATTTGGGTCTCTTTTTTTTGTTTTTTTGTTTCTCTTTTCCCTTTTTCCACCTTTTTAAAGTGCATTTAGTTTCACTTTATTCATTCTTTTTGACATCATGATCAATTTAGCTAATTTGTGTTTGGGAATGTCTTTTGCTTTGTTCCTCTGTTACCACTCAGTAGTGTCGGACAAATCCGTCCCATCAATGTCATTTTCAGTCTACACAGAAGCTGTAGTAGCGGTAAAAGTTGTTATTTCAATGAGCTGACTTTGAACAACCTCTACACAGGATGTTCACAGGTGTTGAGTGAAGTTAACATGTATAAAATTGCATTTTTCAGTCTCGATTTTAAATGTGTTTGAGGGACAGATTTGTATTGATAAACTATAAAACCAAACTGACATGAAGCCAATACTGATTTTCCTTCATATCCCTTGTACTTTTTTTGTCAGTATTGATATGAAATAGCTCTTCAGTTAATAATGGTCTAAAAAAGTCTGCAGCTGCATCTGTTTTCTGCACGCTTGCCAACATTTTTGTGGCCATTTTACTGACCCTTTTTTTATTGTTTCACTAGCTAACAGAAGGAAGATGACATTTCCATTGTTAATCCTGCCTACAAAGCTCCAGCTAAATCACAGCATCAGGACCATTTAAATCAGCTCTCCCCCATGAATCCCAAGTGCACAGAAATGCTATTTGTTCCGGTGAGGTGGGTGAAATGAATTGGACGAGTTGTGTGTGAGTGGAGGGCAGGATAGCGTCTGTGCTTCGCTGTGTGTAAGTAATGGCACAGCATATAAAACATGGCTTCTGCTGCTGTTTGCCTACTACTTCCATTTGCCAGTCTGGATGGGATTTTTCAGCTTTCGCTGAAAGCTGTGACTGACTGTTGATCAATATGTATTGATCTCCAGCCTAACCTCACACCTCTCATGTTTTATTTGATGTCGTGCTCAGTCCCTTACTCCTCCACCCCTCCACATTCTAGCTCAGACTCCCTCCGGTTCATCTCCCCCCTCTGTCATCTCACTCTGTTTTATTCTTTATCTTCTGTTGCTGCCACTTCTCTCACTCCCATTTTCTTTCTGATTACAACTTTGTTGGTGTGACTAAAATTAAACGTGTATTGCCAAAGCAAAATGAAGTTGTATTCCAATGATGAAAAAAAATAAATACAAAATGCATGCACAAGGATGTAACACTAGAGAGCAGAAGAATGGAGAGGTAATTTCTGTCTAAAACTTTCAGTAACAATTCCCAGAGAAGTTATCAAAGGATCACTCTGGTTTATTACAACTCTGGTCTTACTTTCATGATTTCGGTCGTCATCTCTCTCAGTTGTAACAACCAAAGTAATCGCTGAGGTCAGGGAACACACTGACATGATCTCCAGAAATACCTAACCCTACATTTTTTGGAAGTTGGAACAACAAAGGAAGAAACAGGATTGTCTGTTTTTACTGATTGTACTTACAGTGATCCCAGTTCGGTCATTGATTGATTATGAAGACTTGATGAAGCCTAAAACTGAAGCCTAAAAATAAAAGATGTGCTCAGGGTGGATTCCTTTAGACAAAATCCTCTCTAAGGAGGGAGATCTATTGTGCTTGACATTGAGAAGTTTGTGAATCCCTGTATTAATCTATATCTAATCTATACTTAAAATGTCAGTCAAATAACAAAAAATGTGCATCACAAGTAAGAGATAATCAGTTTTCTATCATCGAAGGCTGAAAATTAGAAAACCAGTAATTTTGAAAAGTATTGGTATTATAAAAGTCAGCCAACCACCTAGAGGTGGCGATGTTGACTTGCTGTTAAAGAGACAAAGCCTGTTGGATGTTCACTTTACAGACCTCAGCTCCTAAGGGTCTGAATGATGAGCTACTTCTTAATGCGATATTATGAGATGTTCTCTATGTTTTTTCAGACCTACCTACTATTTTGTACTCATTCACATGGATTATTTTAATTAACTAGTCTTTTTATGATCTATGCTGTCTTTATTAGCGTCTTGATATGTATATATACATATATATGTATATATATACAGTGGGTACGGAAAGTATTCAGACCCCTTTAAATGTTTCACTCTTTGTTTCATTGCAGCCATTTGCTAAAATCAAAAATGTTCATTTTATTTCTCATTAATGTACACTCAGCACCCCATCTTGACAGAAAAAAACAGAAATGTAGAAATATTTGCAAATTTGTTCAAAAAGAAAAACTGAAATATCACATGGTCATAAGTATTCAGACCCTTTGCTCAGTATTGAGTAGAAGCACCCTTTTGAGCTACTACGGCCATGAGTCTTCTTGGGAATGATGCAACAAGTTTTCACCTGGATTTGGGGATCCTCTGCCAGTCTTCCTTGCAGATCCTCTCCAGTTCTGTCAGGTTGGATGGTGAACGTTGGTGGACAGCCATTTTCAGGTCTCTCCAGAGATGCTTAATTGGGTTTAGGTCAGGGCTCTGGCTGGGCCAGTCAAGAATGGTCACAGAGTTGTTCCGAAGCCACTCCTTTGTTATTTTAGCTGTGTGCTTAGGGTTATTGTCTTGTTGGAAGGTGAACCTTCGGCCCAGTCTGAGGTCCTGAGCACTCTGGAAGAGGTTTTCTTCCAGGATATCTCTGTACTTGGCCGCATTCATCTTTCCTTCAATTGCAACCAGTCGTCCTGTCCCTGCAGCTGAAAAACATCCCCATAGCCTGATGCTGCCACCACCATGTTTCACTGTTGGGATTGTATTGGGCAGGTGATGAGCAGTGCCTGGTTTTCTCTACACATACCGCTTAGAATTAACACCAAAAAGTTCAATCTTGGTCTCATCAGACCAGAGAATCTTATTTCTCATAGTCTGGGAGTCCTTCATGTGTTTTTTGGCAAACTCTATGCGGGCTTTCATATGTCTTGCACTGAGGAGATGCTTCCGTCGGGCCACTCTGCCATAAAGCCCCGACTGGTGCAGGGCTGCAGTGATAGTTGACTTTGTGGAACTTTCTACCCTTTCCCATCTCCCTACTGCATCTCTGGAGCTCAGCCACAGTGATCTTTGGGTTCTTCTTTACCTCTCTCACCAAGGCTCTTCTCCCACGATTGCTCAGTTTGGCTGGACGGCCAGGTCTAGGAAGAGTTCTGGTCGTCCCAAACTTCTTCCATTTAAGGATTATGGAGGCCACTGTGCTCTTAGGAACCCTGAGTGCTGCAGAAATTCTTTTGTAACCTTGGCCAGATCTGTGCCTTGCCACAATTCTGTCTCTGAGCTCCTTGGGCAGTTCCTTCGACCTCATGATTCTCATTTGCTCTGACATGCACTGTGAGCTGTAAGGTCTTATATAGACAGGTGTGTGCCTTTCCTAATCAAGTCCAATCAGTTTAATTAAACACAGCTAGACTCCAATGAAGGAGCAGGACCATCTCAAGGAGGATCAGAAGAAATGGACAGCATGTGAGTTAAATATGAGTGTCACAGCAAAGGGTCTGAATACTTATCACCATGTGATATTTCAGTTTTTCTTTTTTAATAAATTTGCAAAACTTTCTACATTTCTGTTTTTTTCTGTCAAGATGGGGTGCTGAGTGTACATTAATGAGAAATAAAATGAACTTTTTTGATTTTAGCAAATGGTTGCAATGAAACAAAGAGTGAAAATTTTAAAGGGGTCTGTATACTTTCCGTACCCACTGTATATATATACACACACACACACACACACACACACACACACACACATAATCTGTAGCAGATTACTACTCCCTTGCCCAACCCTCTTCTTCCAAGCGTGAAGGTGAAACGCACAAAAAATGTAAACGCCCCTATCTAGAGCCAGTGTTTTGTTGTCCCTTCTGGGCTACTGTAGAAACATGGTGGTTCAACATGGCGGATGCAGCTGCGGCATCTGTAGATAAAAAAACGTCTCATGCTAAGGTAACCAAAACACAACTATTCCCTTCCTCTGGCTCCTCCTAGTGCCAAAGCATCTTCCAAGCTAAAGCATCTTAATATCTCTCAGCTCTAAGTCGTTGTTTTCATCCAGGCGCGGTGGATTCTTGCAGTAGCCATCAGGAGCACTAGGATGAGCCAGAGGAACCTAATTATCTGTTTCATGTTCTACTGTCAGGTTATAGTGAAAGTTTCAGCAAATATGATAAAAAGGTATTTTCATAAAAGTTACCCACTGCATCTTTAAAGGCAAAAAAGCCAGAAAAAAATACTTGATTCTCAAAATAGTTGCTGATTAATTCTGCATTGATTGACTAATTGATTAAACAGCTAATTACTGTAATTTAAACCACTTTACGTCAAACTGACAGCAAACAACGTTGCCATACTTCCATATGTCACAAATGAATTTGTGTTCTTTAAAAAGGAAGCTCAAATGGTTCAAAGGACACCTTACAGGCTCCTAAAAGCACGTCATCCCAGAAGTCCTGAATTCAACACAGCAGGAGAATTTTATTCAGCCTTCAACTCAAAGTCCCCCTCCACTCAAAACAGCCACAGCTCCTCAGATACTTGAAGGTTAGTTCACCTTGTCAAGAATAAAGCCTACATCTTCCAGTCTGTAGTGGCCCTAACCCTAACCCAGAACCCTTTTGTAAGCTCATGGTGACCTGACTCTGATGTGGTTTCTTTTTCTGCAATAAAAGACCATGTTTTTTTATCCACTGTTTTCTGTAGGTGCTGTGTATGATCACAGCTCCCGTTACCATGATCCTGTCCTCCCAGCAGGATGCCTCCTTCGCCTTTGCCTCCTTGGCCATCGTGTTCTCTGTCTACATTACCCTGGTGGTTCTGTTCGTCCCCAAGGTAAAGGCAGAGCGCTGTCCTCCTGTCATCATCTCTTCCCTGCAGATTATAGCAGCAATTTATGTGTCAGACATAATGAATTGCCTTTCATCAGGAATCTCATCTGGGCCGGTATAATATAATGACTTGTAGATTGGCCTTGCCATGCTGCGTCAGCATCAATACCTGCTCACCCGCTGCTGCACTAACCTGACTGCAACATATGGTTTGATACACAGAACCATCTGGTCACACATGAACTTCAGCCAATCAGATCAATGAACCATATAACGTAGTCTCTTACTGAAATTAGTCGGGAGAAGAGAGAAAACATCTTCCACCGTTCTTTGCTCTTCTTCCAATGAAGAAATACTCTCCAGTTCTGATATAACTGATGTTAGCAGTATCTGCACTAACCTATTTTGCAGCCACCATTGTTGTTTTAGAGCAAACTGTCACACATCGTCACACACGCACACCTAACGCTGAACCACTGCATCACTGTTACACACACCCATCCTGGTCAGTATTTTAATGTGGAAATGATTCCTTTTTCTAGAAGAAACATATCAGACACACAATATTGTTCCAAGCAGACTGTTTGTATATATGTCTTAATACATGTCTGGAGGGATCTTTAAGCTGTGTAGTGATGCATCCCAAGATCAGCAACTGACCATCATTTTCTCCTAAGTGTAAGATGTATGGCACCCTGTCATGCATTGTGTCTCACTGCGTGTGTGTCTCACCCAGAGGTTCTCCACATGCAGTTATTTGTTTGACAATGTGGCAATGCAGTGCACAGGTTGTAATGCAGCGGTCAAAACTGCACTACAGAATATTCATAATCATATACATTAGGATTTATGACATGCTCAGCACAAGTGTACAATACTTGAGAGTTTCTGTATATGTAATATAGCAGTTGTAGCAACCTATAGACAGGAAGTTCACAGAGACACCAATGTGACTCAGTACATTCTGACTAGTATGGAAATAGTACGGATTTATTGTGTATTCCAGGTTAGTATCAATGAAATATAGGATAAAGGTTTATTCAGGAGAGTTGTATAAATAAACAGAAATCCGTGATAGTCACATCCTCTCATGGTTAACACTGTCCAGTGTTTTTAGAGTGAAGGCAGCAGCTTAAACATTGACTGATTCAACAGTTTTCTTTCTGTAGTAGAGAGAGAATCAGCTTTTGTTCTAAAGTGGAAGCCAAATATTGTCCATCATTTTGTTATTATTCAGCATATGTAATGTATGATTATGTTCTTCATTGATCCAGATTGCAGATTGGTTCCAGTGCCTCAAATGTAAATATTTGCTGCTATTGTAAGTCTTCTAAGATAGTAAATTGAGTAACGTTTTTAGTAAGTCAGCCAGGACTTTTTTTCCACTATTTTATGATATTTTATAGACCAAGCAATTAAGCGATTAATTGAGAAAATAATCTGCAGACTATTGAAAATTAGTTGTAGCCCTACTGTAGAGGTCCCAAATCTGATCCCTGAGGAACACCCTCAGCAATGGGTGATTACTGATTAAAAGGTAATCAGCAAACAAATGTATTATATTATTGAAATGACACAGAGGCGTGTTAGAATAACAGAGATGCAGCATAGACTTTATTTTATAATTCGTCAAAAACACAAGAGATATGATATTGTCCTATTAATTGGTTCTAAAGCCACTGGATGAGTTAAGGAATATACAAGTGCAAAGAACAAAAACTATTCCTCTATTTCTACAAAATCCTCAGAGAATCATTAACGTTATTAGTATGAGTAGTAATACGATACATGTTCCTGAGTACTAAATGTAGGATAAGCATAGAGACCTACATTATTATATGAAAAAACATATAATGTTTCAATCAATTTGAACTTTAGCTGTCCTTAACAGTCAAAAAGTATAAATACATTCAAAACATTTACAAGTAGATGTATGAATTTTATTAACGTTATGTTTATGAAAATAATATAATAAGAATAATATAATAGTAATATTTAAAACGAATTGGTTAAAAAAAAGTTTATTACAACAAAATCAGTGAAATTGCAGCATTGTATAAGCCTAGGCTCAAGTTTAAAAGTTACCTGTTCCTATACTGGTCATTCTATATATAATAACACCTTGGAACAAATAGCTATAATATATATTAATATACCTATATTCAGATTATGGACAAAAGTATGTTAATGTAAATTAAGTATATTTATATTTATATATAAAATATTTACGGTACATAGCAATCAGTGGACTGTCAGTGGTCAATATGAAAAGTTTTCACATGTACAGTAAGGAAAATACTTGCAATATATTTGTAGATGCGGCGTCTGATCACGCGGGGTGAATGGCAGTCAGATGCCCAGGAGACCATGAAGACCGGCTCGTCCACCAACAACAACGACGAGGAAAAGTCGAGACAGCTGGAGAGAGAGAACAAGGAGCTACAGAAGATCATCCAGGAGGTCAGCAGGAAACTTTCTCTTTTCCACAGGAGTCTATATTCAAAGTATCATCTGTATTTAAATATCTGTCAAGAAGGGAGCATGATACGTAGATGTAGACATTTTCAAAAATATGATAAGTGATAATTAAATGATTTAAATAATGCATTTTGTGGAAGCAGAAATCTCAGAGACAAACCTAAAATTATTCACATGGCAGAAATACCACTAGATGGATGTATATATATTTTTTATTTGGATAAACCAACCCTTTAAGCCACTGGCCACCCCGAGGGGTTGCCAAAGCTTTACAGAGATTCGCAAGGCCTTCTTGATTTTAAGGGGTGTAAGAAAACTTTTAAAACACACACATTATATATATATATATTATATATATATATATATATATATATATATATATGTATAGTCTATGCCTATATCTCAGAATTTTGTTCATAAAGTTTACATTATTATTTACTCGAAGAAGCCTATTCATTATTATTATATTATAGATAGAAAATATATAGATAGAAAAATACAATAAAAGAGTATTACAGACAGGTGCCCGGTTAGGTCAGTCGGAAGAGCTGGAGACCCAAATACAGAGTTGCTGCAGCGACCCGGATTTGAATCCGACCTGCGGCCCTTTGCTGCGTGTCATCCCCTCTCTCTACCCACCTTTCCTGTCTATCTTCGGCTGTCCCTATCTAATAAAGGCATGAAAAGGCCCAAAAAATAACTTTCAAAACAAATATATATATATATATATATATATATATATATATATATATTATTATTATTACTGTAGTACACAGAGTATTACAGACAAGCAGAGCACATAGAGCAGAGTGACTATGTAGGGAGTGAGGGAGTTTGACCCCACTATATCTTTACATAGATAATAGTTAGCAAATATAACCTTTAAGGAAAAAGCTTGAAAACCACTGCTTTAAGCCACATTTAAGGAATCGGTCTGAAACAAGCCTGGGACTGGGAAATGTTTATTTTTCTAGTCTTTTTCAGAAAACTCCTGTCAACTATCAAATGAATGAAAACATAAGCCTACCATATCTTAGAGGGCTTGTCACTAGAGTAGATTGTTGAGTCATTGTTCATATTTGTCCCCTCAGAAAGAAGAGCGTGTGTCAGAGCTGAGAAACCAGCTGTCTGAGCGACAGGCCCTGCGATCAAGGAGAAGAGCGTCCACTGTCACCAATCAGAACCACAGCTCTCCCCCCCTCACCATCCCCCAGAGTGATCCCAGGTCCTTGGCCCATCCTCCGGGGTACCCCGCGCCCACCTCCGACCCCCATCCCATCTCTCCATCCTTCGCCAACTCTTCCAGCCTCTACCAACCGGACAGCAAGATCAGCCGAAATAACTGCCACACCAGCCGGCTGCAGCTGCTGTACAAGTAATAAGTGGTGAACATCGACAGGACGTGGACAGTAGTGACGTTCATAGCTACATACTGTAGAGACAGAGAAGTATAAACACGAGTTGAATTATAAATAAGTATCTGTTGGAGGAGCTGACTCCACCAATCAGCAGAGGCTAGAGGATAACCAATGGAAAGGTTTACATCAAAGAAATCTTCAGTGAGGATTTACATTTCCACTTGTTTCGCTCTCCGGGGTGATCAAAACGTTACTTTTCTTTCCTCTCAGAGAAAAGAAAAAAGATGTACATACATCTTGTTATAGAATTTTGCATCTGTGATCCACCAGTGACTTATCATGTGCCATCTTGAGTTTGAGAAAAAGTCGCTCAGAACTGACTGTTTGCTAAGCCCTGGTCCCCACAGCTACAGTTGCTGACCTGACGAGCTTTCCATTGTAAACTGCATTATGTGCAGTGTAGTTTACAATGGTTAGATTTACCTTCGAAATCCATGGTAATGTATGAAACAAAAAGTTGTTGCCTTTAGACAAAACAAGACAAAAGTAGCTTCTCATTTTTGGCAAGTGTTGATTTTGTTGGCTAAAACCACAACTACTGGCAGATTTCAATCGATTTATTTTCTAATTATGATCATAGTGCGGTACGATGAAGAAAATGAAACATAGATATAGCCTATATCTCAGCATTTCAGTCATTCTGTGAAAAAAATGTTAATGAAATTGTGATTTTTAAAGTTAATATTATTATTCAAGATCTAAACTTAGAAGAGCTGAACACAAGCTATTTTATATTCACAGAGCCTTCACTGTCGGATAAACAGTCTTGCCCTGCATTAGAAAATTTCAAACAACAAAAGAGCTGATAGAACAATGAGAAGAATTTGTCAAAAAATAAGCTTATTATGTATGTATGATGGTTAAAACATTCTATTAAAAAAAACACAATTTGTGTTGCTTTAGTCAATATCAGAGCCAAGAAAGATAGTTGATTGTATATCTATCGATCAAGCCCGATGAAATTAATTAAATGAAATTACAAACATGTCTTAAGGACATAAAATCCTGGATGAGCTGAAATTTTCTGATGTTAAACTCAGAAAAAAATTAAATCCTTGTACTTGGCCCCAAAAACCTTAGAGACTCACTGTCTAAAGATATAGCTACTCTAGATGGTATTACCTTGGCCTCTAGCACCACTGTCAGGAATCTTGGAGTTATCTTTGATCAGGACATGTCATTTAATTCCCATATAAAGCAAACCTCTAGGACTGCCTTCTTTCATTTACGTAATATTACAAAAATTAGACACATCCTGTCACAGACGGATGCAGAAAAACTAATCCATGCATTTGTTACTTCTAGGCTGGATTACTGCAAATCTTTATTATCAGGCTGCACCAATAAGTCCATTAAAACGCTCCAATTAATTCAGAACGCTGCAGCACGAGTACTGACAGGAACTAGAAAAAGAGATCACATCTCTCCTGTATTAGAGTCTCTGCACTTACTCCCTGTAAAATTTAGAATAAAATTTAAAATCCTCCTCCTCACCTATAAAGCTCTTCATGGTCAGGCCCCTTCATATCTTAAAGAGCTCATAGTACCCTATTACCCCTCTAGAACACTACGTTCTCTGAATGCAGGGCTACTTGTGGTTCCTATAGTCTCTAAAAGTAGAACAGGAGCCAGAGCCTTCAGTTACCAAGCTCCTCTCCTGTGGAACCAGCTTCCAGTTGTGGTTCGGGAGGCAGACACCCTCACCACATTTAAGAGTAGGCTTAAGACGTTCCTCTTTGATAAAGCTTATAGTTAGGGCTGGATCAGGTGAGTCCTGAACCATCCCTTAGTTATGCTGCTATAGGCATAGACTATCGGGGGATTTCCCATGGTGCACTGAGCTCCTCTCTTCCTCTCTCTCTCTTTCTGCACTCATTCATGTCCCATTAACGCATGTTCCTAACTTTACTTCTTCCCTGGAGTTCTTGTGCTTTCTTGTCTCGCAGGTTCCCATGGATCCTGGTGGAGCCTCCTGCCATGGTCCTGCTTGACTGCCATTGCTAATATCACTGATATTATTAGGGACTGAGCCAGCGACCGCTGGAGGTCCCTATTGTATTTGCTAGAATTCTTACCCTATTATTATTTTCAGCGCCTTTGACTGCATTTTTGACCCCTGAACATATACAAAAACTAAATTTTTAGGGACTGAGCCAGCGACTGCTGGAGATCCCTATTGTATTTGCTATGTTTCTTATTATTTTTAGCGCCTTTGCCCCCTTAACATATACGAAAACTCAATTTTATTTGGCAAGTTGTCAGGCCTGGTGAAAAATGTTATATTCTATGCGTCGCTTTCAGGTCCGTCACTAGGTGGCACTACTATCATGAAAAGTGTGTTTAGGCTAATAACTCCCGCATCGTTTGTCACACATTCAAAAACCTTGTATCCACGCATTTGGTGAATGGAACTGAATCTTCCCATATAGGCCACGCCCACTTCCGCCTATAATTTTTCTTCGCTAGTCTTCTTCTAATGTCCATAAACTACTTTTTCGTGTTCCTCCTATGCACTTTGTCCGATTCGCACAACATTTTTCACGTAGCATCTGGGGCACCGTCCTAATAAAAAAGTAATTCAAAGTATTTTGATATTTCAAAAAATAAGCACGTTATAAAATTAGCACTTCCTGTAAATTTTTCGTCAAAAAAGGAAGAGGGCCATTTCTCCACATTGGTATGTCCAATTGACACCAAGCTTGGGCCCATAGTTCCCCATGTCTTCTTTAGGCATCATGCACAATTTCAGGTCATCGGCACTCTGTGGCGCTCTTTAAAATGAAGAAGTTTATATCTGTGCAACGGCACGTGTGATTAAAATTAAACTAGGTACGATGCTTGCCCATGGCTTCCTGAGGCTCCCTTAAAAATATGTCAACAATCCGCCACTAGGTGGTGCTCTGGTGGCAGTGTACATCACTGTGCGGAGATCGTAATAGTTATGAATATGAAATTCAGAGGGCACATGTAGACTGGTGCCTGTAGCTCACCTACCAAAAATCATGTTTGTCGTATTTGTAACGCCCCCTACAGGATAAGAAAAAAGTAGCCCCGGCGCCACGTTTCACCGATATGTATGAAACTCGGTAGGCACGTGTAACATGTCGAGACGTACAAAAAAGCCTCTTGGACCCATACCCCAAACCCCACGGGAAGTCGGCCATTTTGATTTAGATTTTCACTTTCGGCGAACTTTTCGCGTTGTATTTGAACAAACTTCTCCTAGGGAATTTATTGGATCTGCTTCAAAATTTGTCAGTACTGTCAAAAAATGGTGCTGATTAAAGGTTGCACTATTTACTACATTCCGTCAAACGGCGTGTCCGTGGCATGGCATCAAAGTCAGCCATTTTGAATTCTGTGCTCATTTTCTGTGATTTTTCGTCTTGTATTTGAACGAACTCCTCCTAGGGAATTTATCGGATCAACTTCAAATTTAATCAGCGCAATCTAAAGACATTCATAATTAAAAGTTGTGCTATTTACGACATTCCGTCAAACAGCGTGCCCATGGCGTTGCGTTGAATTTCGACCATTCACCATGAACAGATTGTACACTGAAGTTGAGTACTATGTCCAATCTCGACTAAACTTCACATATTCTGTAACAGTCCTAGCTTGAACACATCCTCACAGCTTCAGTGTACATTATCTGATCTCAACGAAACTTCGCGTTTGATAAGAGTCCCGCCCTGAACACGTCTACATGACAGTATTCAGACATAGTGATAGTGCCACCTACTGGCAACAGGAAGTAATCGTGCTGGCGATTTTGAGCTGATTTACATGAGATTTTCATGTTGTGGTCCGCACGTGTTACGGCGGCACGTGACGCGGCCGCAGCACCCCCCGAGTTGCGTGGAGTGCGAGGTCTCGACCAATGCTGCTTGCAGCTTTAATTATTAATAATAATTCTATTATTATTAATATTATTATTACTACAGTTACTATTATTACTATTGTCACTGCTCATTGTCCCCCACCGTTGCTGTTGTCCTCGTCATCATCTTCATGTTCATCATCATCAGTCACTACTATTAGTGTAGTTGTTGCTACTGTTGTTGCTGTGCACCTGTCTGTCTGTCTGTCTCTCTCTCTGTCTCTGTCTCTCTCTCTCTCTCTCTCTCTCTCTCTCACACTCTCTCTCTCTCTCACCCCAACTGGTCGAGGCAGACGACCACCCACCTAGAGTCGAAGGGTCTGTCCTAAGTTTCTGCCTCTTAAAAGGCAGTTTTTCCTTGCCCCCGTCGCCAAGTGCTTGCTCATGGTGGTACTGTTGGGTCTCTTTAAATGTTATAAGGAGTTCGGTCAAGACCTGCTCTATTTGAAAAGTGTCCTGAGATAATTGAATTGAGTTGAAATGAATTGAGTCTTGTTCCCAGGGCGTCAAATACAGACGTTTTGGCACCCTGGGAATATGATTCAACAATCGGTCTTGAAGCTTCCAACCCAAAGCATCTTTATGTCTCTCTCAGCTGTGATTGGTTGTTTGCATCCACGCCCGGTGGATTCTTGGAAATGCCATTAGGAGCACTAGCCAGAGGAACTTTAAATGGAGAAGGGGCTTAGCAGAGTGTCAATTGGAGACAAAGAGAAATATTATGGCAAAGCATTTATCATATCTGTACCTTACAATATTGCCTCCTAATGTGTTTAGATAGTGCTATGTACTGTATTAAGAGGCTTGACAAAAGGAAAGACTTTTATGATAAACAATGCCAGTGTTGGCAGTGGCAAAATCACTTGTATAATTACATAATAAGATTTGTAACTGTTCTTGTTAAATGTTTGATGGCGTTTTTTTTACATCGTCTCTGTTCAAAGAGACTGCTGAGTCATTGTACATAGTTGTGTGTGTTCATGCTAAACCCCTCACTGTGGAACTCAGTCCTTTAGATTAAGGGTTTCAAAGAAAACTGAGCTGAGGACAGTGCTGTCATCTGTCAGGTATTCACTGTTTTGAGGGCTGTGACTGCCACACTCAAGAGCTGAAGGAATTTAAATGAGGTTAAAAGCATCAATCCAAATACCTTTATCTGTTTAATGTTAGGCAGCAGCTGGGTGTTTAATTTTCCTGTGGACAAGGCAGATAAATACCCAAACTGAAATGCAATGGGCAAGCTGTCAACTGACAGGCTTAAATGTCAAACCAAACAAAGGTTAATGCAGTCAGAGTTTGTTAGCATGTAATGTTTAACCTTTTTTAGTTCTTCTTGTTCTTCAGGAGCTTTTTTTTTGTTCTTCAGGAGCTGAACTATTTTCATGTCTGAATGAATAAATATCTCAGTGCTCAAAGGCTGTGGCTCATGAGGTAGAGTTGTCCACTAATCAGAAGGTTGGTGGTTCGATGTCCAGCTCCCCAAATTGCTCCTGATGCTGTGCCATTGGGGTGTTTCATTTTGAATCAATGTGTGTGAATGGTTGAATGTGGCATGTAAAGTGCTTTGAGTGGTCAGAAGACTAAAAAGGAAAGGCGCTTTATAAGTTCAGTCCATTTACCGGTTAGCATGTTGCTGCATGCTGGAGCGAACAAAGAAAATACTGCATTACAGACCAGTATAAACTGATATCTGTGGCAGCAGGTGTGAAGAGTGCATCTGAATTTGAAATTCAGAACTTAAAATTAATTTAATGTAGTTTACCCTATATTTTATACTTGTATGGAACGTTTTGATTAGGTTGGTTTATTTCTTGAGCAGGAAGTACACCATGCATTTCAAATGTAGTTCTTCAGTTTCCTCTGTCTGTGATTGTATTTTTATGAACGAAAGGTAAAACAAAGCAGCACTGATTCAAACAAACACAAACACAGTCACCTCAGTTTTGTCTTTACTTTATCTAGGGATGCACTGATACCACTTTTTTGTATAAGTTCTTACATTTGGATAGTTGCCGAAACAGTTTCCCGATATGTGTACTGAATAATACCATTACAGCTCTGAATTTGACTTTGAAAACATGTTTTATTTTCATCAGATGTTCCTCACTATCTAACTGTAAAAAATTTAATGTAATTCAAAACTGATGACTTCCCCTCCACCTAACCGCATACCTGATACAGGTATTGGTATGTGTGCATCCCTAATTTTAGCTAGAGATAAATCTGGCACATCTGTTAACTCATTTGTTCAATACACTACTACTACACACTACTAAAGCGAGTCAATGGGAGTATAGTCAGCTGGTGGAAAAGAGATAAAGATTTGAGTATCATTGACATAAATATGAAAATCAATGTTGTTGTTAATCAAATCTGGCCTAACGGGAACCTGTTTAGATTAATTAGAAGGGGACCATGTATTGATCCTCGTGGCACTCTGCAGATCATGCTGGCCTGCTTGGAAGTAAGAGCGCCAATATTTTTTCAACCCCAACCTTATTTTTCATTTTATGTCAAAATGACAGCAGCAATCATTGGGGGTAATTACACACATTGTTTGGGGGTGGCTTTTATTTAAATGTATTTATTTCAAATTAAACACATGGGAAAATAAGGTCCAGGTTTTTACTTTAAATAGTTAGAACCATCATGCTGCCTCCTGATACAAGTTTGGTTTGTTTCAACACATTTTCCCCACAGCCATAAACACTCTTGAGACGAAAACCAAAAAGGCTGACATTTGAGTTCCCCTGTGCAGGCAGCATTTCACTACTTGTTCACGTGTTTACTCTTCTGCTTCTTTGGTCTCACTTCCAACTAAAGCTTTGTGTGGGGATTTTGTAGACAAACAGGAAGTTTCATACAGTTTCAATGAAAAGGTTTCGATAACAGAAAGTGAGATTACAGCATGTGTTTGACTTCTGTTTACCTTATAATAACTTACATACTAAGAGAGATAATAACCAGGGGCTTTTTCTTTCTTAGTGTGTGTCTATGAATTTTATTTTCCTGTGAAGTGGGTCTCACAGATTTTACTGTTAACGCTGATCAAATCTTTGGTCACTTTGAGCTGTTGCTCGATCAAAAAAACAAATGGTGCTGGGATGCAAATCAGCAGCAGGAACCGGAGTAACTAAGCTGGTACACAGTTTCACTTCCCTAATCGGGGTTGGCATTGATTGAATTAGAAAATTGGAATTTAAAGTTATGATGCTAAAGATATTCATGAAACCAGATTCCATTTTGATATTTATTTATGGTAGGCATTTTCGAAATGTGGCACTTTTAACTGTATGTCATCATCTACTACTGTGAATGGGGTTTATTTTAAGGTCCAGTGTGTCATATATAGGAGAGTCTATTGGCAGAAATGGAATTTGATATTCATATGTATGTTTTTATTAGTGTATAATCACCTGAATATAAAAATCCTGTTTTTGTTACTTTAAATGAGCCATTTTTACAGTTACCATGGCTTGCCTTCCATGGAACTGCCATGTTTCTACAGTAGCCCAGAATGGACAAACCTAACACTGGCTCTCAACAGGGACTTGAGATCTGCAACTACACCGCAAATCCTACACACTGGACCTTTTAGTTTTCATAGAGGCTTTGAGTTATGATTTTGGTGGAACTTCTGTTTCCAAAGTCAAGAATGAATTTTCATGCAGTGAGACTGCCATTGGTATTAGCAGCACAGGATTAATTGAAAGTGCCATATAATATTTGTTCCTCTGCACTGATCAGAATCAGACTTCATTTTTCACTTACAAGGAATTTGCCTTGGTACATTGTTGCATAAGAATTACAATCAATATACTATATCAAGTATAAGAATCAATATAGTTTCCTTGTGACAGCTTTCAATTGAGGTTCCAGCTTTTAAATATCATTTTTCATTCCTTGTGTGATATACATGCTGTCTTAAACTCTGAGTCGGTCTTGACTTCCAGTTTAGTCTCATGCTCTCTCCTTGTTGTTTCATTTGTGTGGGTGATCTCACTTGTCGTAAGCACTCCTGAATTGACTAACAACTACAGTATGAGGTGCAGATGTATAAACCATGAGAACATTATGTGACCATTTGTAAATATCTACTGTATGTTTGTCTGTAATGTATCTTAACTGTCCAGTCTGTAAAGCAGTAGAGCTATAAGTGATGTTGATACACATGAGAATATGTACACTGACTATAAATAATGATGATGTTAATAATGATGACATGGACTTTGCATATACAAGCTGTATTTCATGTGATACAGTATTCAAAGTATATTTCTATATGCTGTATTATCTGATGTTGGAGATGCAAGAATGAAAATAAAAGTAGATGTTTTTGTCAAACTGTCTTTACTGTTCAATGTCCATCACTTTGGTCCAGACTGACATACTTCATAAACTGAACAATGAAGGTGGTACAAACATTTATGTCCCTAGCGGATGAATCCTACTGACTTTGGTGATCCTTTGACTCTGACTCAGAAGGTCAAAGTTCTCACTGATCCAGTGAACTATCTCAAAATCTACTTGATGGATTAACTCAAAGTTTTATACAGGTTCCCTAACCTGACTGTACCAGATGGTTTGTTAAAAAAAATATTACCCAGGTGACTGGATAAACCATATGTCTATCATTTTCTATGGCAGGTAAACTTCAACCACTCAGATCAATGAACCACATCGCGCTGCAGCACAAGTACTGACAGGAACTAGGAAAAGAGATCATATTTATCCTATATTAGATTCTCTGCACTGGTTCCCTGTAAAATTCTAAATAGAATTTAAAATCCTTCTCCTCACCTATAAAGCTCTTCATGGTCAAACTCCTTCATATCGTAAAGAGCTCATAGTACCCTATTACCCCCATAGAACACTGCGCTCTCTGAATGCTGGGCTACTTGTGGTTCCTATAGTCTCTAAAAGTAAAACAGGAGCCAGAGCCTTCAGCTACCAAGCTCCTCTCCTGTGGAACCAGCTTCCAGTTGTGGTTCAGGAGGCAGACACCCTCACCACATTTAAGAGTAGGCTTAAGACATTCCTCTTTGATAAAGCTTATAGTTAGGGCTGGATCAGGTGAGTCCTGAACCATCCCTTAGTTATGCTGCTATAGGCCTAGACTATCGGGGGATTTATCATGACACACTGAGCTCTTCTCATCCTCTCCCTCTTTTTCTGTACACATTCATGTCCCATTAATGCATGTTACTAACTTCACTTCTTCCCCAGAGTTCTTGTGCTTTTTCATCTCGCAGGTTATCATGGATCCTGGTGGAGCCTCCTGCCATGGTCCTGCTTGACTCCCACTGCTAATATTACTGATATTATTGTTAGGCAGTGACCGCTGGAGGTCCCTATTGTATTTGCTATGTTTCTTCTTCTTACCTATTATTATTTTTAGGCCCCTTTGACTGCATTTCTTCCCCCCTGAACATATACGAAAAGTCAATTTTATTTGGCAAAGTTGTCCGGCCTGGTGAAAATGGGGATATTCTATGTGTCGCTTTCGGATTGGCCAGTAGGTGGCGCTACTAAGGCTAATAACTTCTGCATAGTTTGTCGCACATTTAAAAACCTTGTATCCACGCATTCGGTGAATGGAGCTCAATCTCCCCATATAGGCCACGCCCACTTCCGTCTATATTTTACTCCACTAGAGCACGAAATGTCCAAAATATGTCAAGAATCTGCCCCTAGGTGGCGGTCTGGTGGCATGGTAAATCACTGTGCGGAGACCGTAATAGTTATGAATATGAAATTCACAGGGCACGTGTAGAGTGGTGCCTGAAGCTCACATACCAAAAATCGTGTTTGTCGTGTTTGTAGCGCCCCCTACAGGATAAAAAAACAGCAGCCCCGGCGCCACGTTTCACCAATATGTACGAAACTTGGTAGGCACGTGTAACATGCCGGGACGTACAAAAAAGCCTCTTGGACACATACCCAAAACCCCACAGGAAGTCAGCCATTTGATTTTCATTTTCACTTTCAGCTTACTTTTCGCATTGTATTTGAACGAACTCCTCCTAGGAAATTTAGCGGATATGCTTCAAAATTTGTGAGTACAGTCAAAAAATGGTGCTGATTAAAAGTTGTGCTGTTTGTGCATGTACGTTGAAGGGCGTGTCCGTGGCGTGCCGTCAAAGTTGGCCATTTTGAATTCTGTGTGCATTTTCGGTGAATTTTTTGCCTTGTATTTGAACGAACTCCTCCTAGGAAATTTATCGGATATGCTTCAAAATTTGTGAGTACTGTCAAAAAATAGTGCTGATTAAAATTTGTGCTGTTTGTGCATGAACGTTGAACGGCGTATCTGTGGCGTGAGGTCAAAGTTGGCCATTTTGATATTTCTGTCATTTTCTGTGATTTTTTGTGTTGTATTTGAACGAACTCCTCCTAGGAAATTTATTGGATCTGCTTCAAAATTGGTCAGTACAGTCAAAAAATGGTGCTGGCAACAGGAAGTAAGAGATGCATGGCGATTTTGAGCTAATTTACGTGAGATTTTCATGTTGTGGTCCGCACGTGTTACGACGGCATGCGACACGGCCGCAGCACGCCCCGAGTTGCGTGAAGTGCGAGGTCCCGCCCAACGCTGCTTGCATCTTAAATTATTATTATTATTATTATTATTATTACAACAGTTACTATTATTACTATTATCATTGCTCATTGTCCCCCATCAATGTAGCTGTTGCCATCGTCCGCATCATCTTCATCATGTTCATCAACACCATCAGTTACTACTTTTAGTAGTATTGTTGCTACTGTTGTTGCTGTGCACCTTTGTCTCTGTCTCTGTCCTTCTGTCTTTATCTCTCTCTCTCTCTCTCTCTCTCTCTGTCTCTCTCTCTCTCTCTCTCTCTCTCACCCCAACTGGTCGTGGCAGACGGCCACCCACCTAGAGCCGGGGTCTGTCCAACGTTTCTGCCTCTTAAAAGGAAGTTTTTCCTTGCCGTCGTCGCCAAGTGCTTGCTCATGGTGGGAAGTGTTGGGTCTCTGTAAAGTATTTGAAAAGTGTCCTGAGATAACGTCTGCATTGGCACTATACAAATAAATTGAATTTAATTGAAATTAGTGCTGTCAAACAATTACAATATTTAATCGCGATTAATCGCATTAATGTCATAGTTAACTCGCAATTAATCGGACATTTTTATCTATTCTAAATGTCCCTTGATTTCTTTTTGTCCCATCATTTTTTTTTATTTTAAACATACTGTAGTGTTCAATTTCACACTAACATTCTCACTTGGAGCAAATAACCTCTCACACAATGTAGCTAACACTGTCCATCAATAAAAGGGTGAAAAAAATACTTTGTCACACAAACAGCAAACATATACTACTCTTAAACAAGTGTGTGCGGCGTGCCTGTTGTTTTGTTTCTGGTCTAGCTAGATCGGGTGTGGTGTTGTAGTTTTTCTAACGTTACTAGTTGTTGCAACAGCATGTGAAAAAAACTACAAAGTGTGCTAGGTCAAAAAGAACGTTAATTGCGCGATAAAAAAATGTATGCCATTAAAATGGGTTTGTGTTAATGCCGTTAATAACACGTTAAACTGACAGCACTAATTGAAATTGAATTGAATATAATTCTTCCACTGTGATATGTCTCTGCTTTTGGATGAAGTGCCATCAAATGTGGTTCAGACATTCATACTCCCCTTAAATAATTTGTAATAACTTTTGTGATCCTCTGACTTTTCATCTAGCACCATAATCAGGTCAACTTTCTGCAAAACTACATTCCCATTACCATCAGCCTCAGTTGTGCATTATTTTTAAATACTGACTTTGTCATGGTGAGCAAGTTAACTTTCTTACATTGGCACACCATGGCTTACAGAAATAGAAACCAGAATGATGGAGGAGTGGAGGGTTACATCAGTTGCAGAAACCTCTGTTGCATATGGAGCAACACAGACTATGAAGGAAAAAACAGATCAGTGTCAACCACACTGGGTTTCCTCAGGTCGTGACTGGGGAGGTGTTGTGTTGTTACACTGCTCTCAGTATATTGCTATGACTGTATGGTTTTATACTGCATCTGAATCATTCCAATGGGGATTTAACTTCAATGTTTCACGCATTTTCGCTGTAAATTGTGATTGTTTTATGTGATTGTACATACATTTGCCCCATCGTGATATAGTGATATCTGAAGGGTTAGGGTTAGGGTTAGGGTTATTTTTATGAATATTAAAAGACTACAGTATTTTTCACTAGTTTTCATTTTTTAATTTTTGTTTTCAATTCAGTCAAATTTGTGTCCAGAGTGGGATTGCTCATTTCTTTTTATTTTTTATTGTTTAGAATATTTAGTTTTTATTTGTTTCAATATTATTTTTAGTTTTTTCTATTAAAAGAAAAGTATTTATCAGAATAGGTATTACAATAGAAACACATTGACTCAGTCTCAATAAACAGATGGACTGCCAGCTTTTTTGCTTAAAAGCTCAAAAGCATGGTGTCCCATATTCTTTGGACACTCACAATGTCCCAGCTTTGTGGAAGAAGTCAATCATAACACCAGTGACTAAAAAGGCCTCTGCAACAGTGTGATTTACGTCCTGTAGTACTGATAGGACACAACAAGTGAAAGTTAATGGGACATTTTCAAATACCAAACATAGTGATGCAGTGGTTCCACAAGGTGGTGTGGTATCACCTATACGTTTTACACTGTACACTAATGACTGCAGGAAAGTACACCCCAATAATTAGAACTAGAATTATAACATGGGCGGCTGTGGCTCAGAGGCAGAGCAGGTCGTTCCTCAATCGGAAGGTTGTGGGTTCGATCCCCGGCTCCTGGTGCCACATGTCGAAGTATCCTTGAGATACTGAACCCCGAATTGAGTGTGTATGAATGTTAGTTTCTGTTCGATGGACTTTGCCATCACTGAGTGAATGTGTGTGAAAGGGTGAATGTGGCACGTAGTGTAAAAGCTCTTTGAGTGGTCGGAAGACTAGAAAGGCGCTATACAAGTACAGGTCCATTTACCATTTACCATGATACAGTGATCTTGAGCCTTCTCCTCAAGGACATGGACTTTTCTCTTTACCATAATGAGATTTATCAACAAGTGACACCAACCATCTTATTCTAAACGTCACCAAAACACAGGAGATGATCTTGACCACAAGGCAGTGGTCATCAAAAACTAGAAAAAGTGTCCTTATATAAATATTTAGGTGTCCATATAGACAACCTTCTTTGCTGGAAAACACACATTGATCACCTGTGCAATCGACTGCAGCAGAGACTGTACTTTATAAGGCGACTGAGACAGTACGGAGTGAGTAGCCAGATCATGCTGATGTTTTACAGGGCAATCCTAAAG